TAACATTGTAACCCATTTCACAAAATTAATTGCATTTTTAATTTTTTTTCAATTTAATTTTACAATCCATTACTCTATAAAATGAATTTATTACATTACATGGATATTATATTACTTAAATGTGATATCATTTTATGTCATTAATAAAATTACATTATAATTGCATGGTTGAGAGTGGGTCAATGACCAGCGGCCAAATTTTCAGGTAGAATTTTTTATTTCAAACTGGGTTAACAAGATGAAAGAGGAATAAAGGTTGGTGTAATAGAGTTTCAGAAAAAGGTCCTGTGGTTAGTCTACGGAATAATAGGTAGTTTTCAATAACCACGTGTCAGGATTGGAGGAACGCGACAGTTTTCCGGTAAATATCAAGCGGGTCAAGCAATCGGTGGAAAATTCGTGAGAAAATCGAGAAGCAGTTTCATCTATCTCGGAAGCCTATTCTAAATGCTTCACGGCATTGTTTGCGGCAACTTTCAGCCGCTTTTACCATCGCAAACAAGCATTTTCATTTAGTTTTCTTTTCATCTGGCCGATGCGCTAAGTGAATTTTACTGGCCGCTTCCATTTCGTCCTGCTTTCATTTCCTACGCGACTCGACTCTGTTTGGTAAATCTAATCCTTGCTTTTCATAAAAATCTCCACCGTCACCTCGTTCTCTTCCCATTCATTTCCATTCTTTCTCTAATTCAGTTTATCTCTTTCTTTCTATGTTCTTCGAGTTCCATTTTTCACACTCTTTTTCTTCTTCTGCTCTGATGTTTTTGGATACACTATAATTATTTTTATTACTGTTTTCCTTTCTCTTTTCTCATTACGTATGATTATATCCATTTTAGCTATGAATTTATGTCTCTTTTTGAATACGTATTTAGTACTGATTAAACAATTCTCATTTACTTTTTGAATTATCCATTCATGTGGTGTCAACTTTCATATCTCTCTGATCGATTTTTTGCTTCCATAGCAGATCTTTCCATCCGCGTGACAGCTCGCTTTAATACGCTTTGTCATCGAGCGAAAATAAAACAACAGAATTTAATCGGTAGCTGTTACGCGTGATGAGAACAACGCGTCGAATAGGAATAACTGAATACGTGGTTTTAAAGTAACGAACGAATGATGGAAAAAAAAGTTTGCCAATCATATATTCAAATGTAGCTCGCGTCCCGTTGCGCCGACGGATCATCAGCAATGAAAAAAAAAAAATAGAATTCGAAACAATGGAATTAGAGGGGAAGCAGGAATTTCCGGAAATTTAATTTTAATGATATTAATATTAAAAGAAGTTTAAATATAAAATAATATCATTTTTAATTATTAAATAATATACAATTTAGTATTTAAACGAGAGATATGAATAATAAGTAAATATTAATTAAAATTCGCCCGCGTTGGCGCGTAAGTGGTGGAGGACACAGGCCTATACATATGAGGGCTCTTCCCCTACATCGCTCAGTCTTCCAACAGCCACCGGAGGAGACGGACGGTGGCCCGAGGAAGAGGAACCTTATAGAGAGGGGGGTATCGCTAATTTTCCTAGGAAAAATTTCTATGCTTGGTACTGTACATCATTTATAATACGCTAGACAGATCTTATTATAATATCTTGATTAATAATTAATGTCAATGTTCAATCTCGTGACGCGTTTTAGCAATTGTTAATAAAAGTAACAGTTAAATCGAGAGATTCTCATACGATCTCTTTTGTCTCGCATGGGATGACGAGAAACGAGAAACGAGTAGCCGGCACGTTAAAACACGCTTGCATATTCATAAAAGAAGGAATGCACTTAAGCGAGTTAACGACTCAACGAGTGCTGAATATCCTTGACAGCCACGCGAACCGGCTGTGTTTTAATTAACGTTGCAAATTATTGTTGAGGTGGGGCTGTTTGTTATACGGGAATATTATCGGGTATTCAAGAAACAATCTTTATTCGGTTAAGGAATTAAAACGAATCGGAAAGGAAATTTGTTTTAACCTGTATTTGTATTTTTGTAATCGATGGGGATGCAAATTTTCATAGGAATATTGTTCGCATAAATCCATCGATGACGTCACGAAACAGAGGAGCAATTAATCGGCTCCGACATTAATTATCGTGTCGAATCCTCGCCACGGGCCAAATATTCGGCGGTATTGAAAATGGCAGCGGCACGACTTACGATCCATTTAACATTTCGATGGAAAATTCGGGGCGGACGAAGGGCGACAACGATCGTTTTCGAGAGGGCAGGCGACCGATCGGCGCCCCAGTGAAATCGCAAACGTGCAACTAGGAAACTAGGCGCCGTTTTATGCGGCAACGATTTTAATTTACCCGTCGAGAGCGTGAAAAATCGTTTTGGCTGTGTATTACGTTCACGCTGGCCGGAACAAAGGGAACAATGCGCGATTGTTGCGGCACAGAGGCCACCAATGGACGATCCTACCCCGATTCTCGCTTCGCGATGCATCGCTGCCCTCGCGATAGCTTAACGCGAGATGAAGAGGATTGCTTCGAAATGGGGATCCTGTTTTAACCCTTTCGGCGCTAACCTTGACTATACTGTTGTTCTTTTGTTAATGATCCGTGGTTAATTATATCAAAATAATTTATTAACCCTTTCGTTATTAAAGGATTGTTCTTTGGTAACCCTTGGTCATCATACGCAGATTTAAAAGCTGAATTTTACAGAATATTATAAATATAAGAAATTCTTTATATTTTACATATTTTATTTCTATTTTATTTTTACTTTGCTTATAAAATTACCTTAGAAGTTATTCATAAATTGATTCAAATTCTTTCTGAAGATTCATTGTAATTAGAATCTGGAAATTCCTTGCAGAAACATTCCAGATCAGATATCTACATAGCGTCATTCAATCCAGATCAAGTTCATTCGTGTGAAGTATAACAGGTACATAGATAGGTTTCTGGTAACTATAATTCGGTTAACATCGAGTTTTCAAACGCGTCACTTGATCCATCCATCCACGATCTTTCGTTCTCGTTTCAACGATAACTTGAGAAGCATTATACTCGATAATTGATTGTGCGTAATAGCCATCGATTAATCGGCCATTCTCGCTCGTCACTGACCTGGAATCCGTCATTGTCACTGTCCCGTGACAAATCGGTTACCACCCTGAAACTGTCTTGATAGAAACAAAGTAGGGGCGTTGAAATTAAAAAAAAAAGATATTTAAACACCTATGATATAATTTGAGGTGAAAGACAGTTAATTACATTGATTTATTAATGAATTTAATGTTTCTCAAGATGCTACCAAAAATAGTAATTAAAAATGTTAATTGTAAATGTCAAAGAAAGTGGAGTGACAGAAAATTGATTAAAAAGTAATGAAAGGATACTGTGAATATTAATGAATCATTTTATATCTTATCGTATAAGAATCGAACGTTTATGGTCGCGCGGGGACAATAAAAAATTTCACCGTGGCCAACAAGAACGACGCAATTTCCGGTGGAAAAAGTCGGCGGAACGAAATTTTCTCCCACCATTTTTACCTTCGTAAATAGTCAATTTGATGGTGTTTGAGGTGCCACTGACACGTTTCAGTATTCAACGCTGGATTCGCGATATCGAGTTTGTTATCGTGTTTTGAATACGTGCCATGTTTTTCTTTAAAAAGAAAAATTGTTACCTTCGGTACGAGTATGAAATCATGGTAAACTTTTGTGCGATTTGACCGGTTTGACTGTTGCGTTTTGAACGGGAAAAAATAACTGAGAACAATTTCAAAACTGTATCCGAAAATTTGTTTTAGTATATTTTTGCCCTGTAATACCATCAGATAAAATTACTAACAAGGATAGGTGACAAAAATTAAACGAATAGAATGTAACAAATATCCCATTGATGTTCATTCTTTCGTTCTTATCCAGCTTTCCCTTTAAAAAGACTCTTTTTTCCAGTAAGGAAACCACGAATTTCTCACCCCTGCCCATAAACTACCCCTCTCGACTTCCTGGCAGGCGTTCGCGAGGCGCCAAGCTGAAAATATAGACAGTGTAATTGTCATTAACGGAGTATCTTGGCCCATGTAACGTTACACTTATTAGCCTCTATTTGTCGGTAGAATAATTATTAAGGAAAATTATGCATTCGCCACGAGCTGTATAGAGAGACCAGAAGCTTAGACCGGTACGGTTAATTGCTACAATTACGTTTGATTAATGCTGCTAATTACACTTTTATCTTTTTTCTTTCCACTATTTTTTCTACCCTCTTTGAGACCGGTAATGAGACCGACGTGACTTTATGAATCACTATGATTATCCGAATGAATGAAGAGAATTATTTAACATGAGTTTTGTGAATCGAAATGATTTATACGAAAGGGACGAAAATGAAGCCCTTTCGATTGAACATTTTTATTTGCATCGTACCGTACACTCATTTGCATACGTTTTTTCAAACACTGTCTGGTGTTATTTAAATTTACACGGTTTGGTTCGGAATTATTTGATGAATAATTTTATCCGACGAAATTCGAACAACCGTACAATGGAACGGTGATTTTTCTATACCTGAAAAATTAAATTTTTAATATAGCTTCCCTTTGTTTGCTTTGATTGAAAAACGATTATTTGATTTGTCCGAACACGTGTTCTCTAAAGTATTTATTCGAAAAAACATGGTATGAGGCTACAAAATTTATTATCCTTTTTATATCGTATACAAGTCCATTAATATTCACGGTAGATAAATGTACAAAGCCGTAACAACAATAACAATTTCCCTCTGGCAATTCTCTGTTCCTTATCATTTAAATAAAGTTATAGAAAAATACAAATTTTGTAATAACAAAATCCAGAAAAATCCTCTCTTCTTCTACAGTAGTCTTCGGTCGAAATATTTTCATAAGCTGCTGTAGTGCGATAATCGTCAATTTTTTCCCAAAAATCATTGGATGTAATTATTTAATTCTCACATTCTGTTCGTCGCATGACGTACTTTATCTAACTCGACTGGTCTTTGTCGTTTCAGGGACAATGATGGATGCGGTGGCAGTGGCAGGTGGAATTGCTGAGTTACCATGCGACGTGGAACCGCCAGTCTCTGGGGACAAGTTGCACCTAGTTATTTGGTACAAGGAGGAGGCAGACGCACCGATATACAGGTAAATTCCTCTTTACCATTCCTTATTCCTCTTTCGATATTGCGATCTAAATCATCTTCGCTTCGTTGCTAGTCCATACTTCGAAGGAGAATGAGAAAATAACTCGTTCTATAGAAAGGTACAATTCGTACCAAAACGTACAATTCGGTTTACATTTTACTAGTTAATAAGATTCTTCGGGGTAATGAGTTCTTCAATCTTCAAGTATCTCACCTAGAATTTTCCTTTCAATTAATTCCTTCAGAAAAGTTAATTAACATAGCAACCCTTCAACTGCAATACAGTTTATTCGAAATTAATTAACTAGAGGAAATTGATAGCAATCTATATTATAAAACTTAGCTCGAGAACCACCCTCGAAAAAGGTGAACCAGATAAAAATTATTAAAATGACGAATCTTAAATTTATTATTGAGATGTCTTTGTCAAAATTTATGCCGAGTTTTATAAAGATAAAGAATTTCCATCTTTCAAATATTTATTTTCAATTTTGAAGTAAATGTACGCCCAACATTGTTCTAGCGTCGATGTTCGAACAACTTCGAGAAAATATTCCCTTTTGAAATATTAACTTGAAGGTTTCCCTCTCTCGGGGTTGCAATTTTACCACTGCACTTGTTGCAATTGTTCGATGTTCCCGTTTCGAGGACGACCGAAGCGAATTATTTACCTTCGACAAATATTTTACGAAATCGAATCGTGGCACGCGATTCTGTATACCAAAGATATCGCAGCCACATCGACCATAATTTGTAATTCTGACATTAGGAAGTATAATACATTATCAATTTCTTACGTCAAAAGTATTTCTGAAATTGTATACTTACATCTATCTTAAATTGAAATGTTTAAAGAACTTAGTTGTGTAAACGTAGTGAAACTCAGCCTTAAAAGCGTTGTTACCATAAGTTCATTATTCAGGACGAGAGGATTTTACTTCTGAAACGTTGCCAATCTTCTCTATTTATTTGCCGTTTGTACGTCGACGTTAACCTCTTTATCGGCGTCACTTTGCTTTCTTTCTTCCTTAATGGAAATTTAAATTAACTTTCAACGGATTCGTGAATTCGTTTCAAGATATTCTATACGTATCGTTTGATCAACGTTTGGTAGAATTGTACGAAACAAAAACTAGCAATTTTATAGGTTCCATCAAATCCCTTATTAATCTACATTTATTCTACTTATGTTCTACTGATAACAGAGTTTCTAATTTCAAAAATTTCTTCGGTGTAAGAAGCATATCTTTACGCGTGGGCGTTAACCCTTAGATGGCGGACCACGTGGAGTGCCCCAATTTTAGGTTTCCCAACTTTGGGTCACGATTAACTTAGGCTGCGCTGTTTAAGTGTTAAAACAGCGGTCAAATTTGCTTTTTCAAGCGGGAAATCTGAAAGTGGAACGAAGGAAGTCGCGTTTCGCACGGTGTGTGTCCTGAAACCTTGGCGTAAACGTCCTCGAAGGACCGGTTCAGAAATCTAGCCCTCAGGCAACAGTCGGCCGCAAACCTCATCTTGCCCCGGGCGTTTCGTACGAGCAGAAAGAGAAAAAGATTCGAAACACCTGCCCGGTTACCTCGGATAATCGAGTCGGACTCGTAACTCGCGCGATCGAATCACTCTGTATCGATTTCCAGCATCTTCCTGTCGTTTTATTCTTATTAATCGTTCGCAAACTAGATTCAATTCTCGATGGGAAAATAGCTGATTTCCAGATTTGCAAATTTTCCTGAATATCAATTAGTTTGCTCGCGATACGATACACTTTTGATATTTTAAACGAAATTTTAAATATCGTAGAATACTTGGGAAAATATGATCTATTATTCATGCGAGGATGTTTGCAAATTTTCAAGAATACCAATTTGTTCAATCACGAGTCAATGCAATCTCAATGTTTTAAGTTGAATTTGAAATATAAAATACGCATGAAACTATCATTCTTCTAATTATATCGAGGACGTAGCTCGTTTGCGTTACTTTTGGAATTTGCAAACTCTGCAAAATATTAGTTCATTAATAGGTAGATGCTGTTTCGAAACTCTAGATTGGACTTTCAGTGCCGTAGAGTACCTAGTTGTTAATGCAGCTATTATTCTGTTGTTTTATTCAACTAATGTTGGCGCTGGAGATATGACTTATTTGCGGTGCACTCAGCATTTGCACATTTTATAGAATATTAATTTATGGATAAACCAAGACAATACGGATTGAAAATTCACTCCTATTAATATTTTATCATTCATTCTATAAAACTAAATGAAATTTCTTCTTACCAAATTTCATTAAGAAAAAATTCATGCATTATTCAAGTTCAAAGGAATGAAATTTTCAAAATCGTTCACCCTTTCTCAGAAGAATTTAATTATCTCTTATTAAAATCAGAGGAAATTCTCTTTTCTCTTTTAAACAAATTTAAGAAACGAATGAGAGAATTTCTTCGTTACCAAACGAATAACAAATAATCTCACGAGAGGTATCTTTATGAAGCGAGGAACGTGTTATTTACGTGTTTTAAAGAGATTCGATCGGGATCGATGTTGTAATCACGGTACAGTGTAAATAAGGGACCAGCACAGAGAAACGTGGTGTTCGTTCGAAAGCGATTGAAACAGATGTCTGTTTGACAGGGAGAATTCGCGCGAATGTCGTGTATTTGCGACAGCACGCTTGTCAAATGAGGTTGGATTTATTAGTAACAATAAACCAACTCGCGGATACGCGTGACGTATGCTCTTCTACAACGTAGGGGGACAATATGATTCAACGTTGTATAGGACAATGTAAAATATGGAGAATAATGTAACAGGTTTATTTTGTATAAAACTATAAATCACGTCTAACGTGTCAACTAAATTCTTTGCTGAAGCTAATATGATATCGAGATACCAGGTAGAATGGCGAAGAATTTTCAAATCTAAGAGTTGTAGAATTGTACAAGCTGGTAGAATGATAGAATGATAGAAAATAGTGAAATGGTAGAATGGTGGAGTAGTAAAACGATGAAATGGTAGATGGTAAAATTTAGAGTGGTGGAATAGTAAATTAATGGTAGAATAAAGGAACCCTCGAATCATAAGATGGCAGAATCGTGAGACGCGTGTCTAACGAAGTATTAGAATAAGAAAATGCTAAAATTGTAGAATACATATCATAGTACTACAAAATAACAAGATTGCGAAACTTCAAAGTTATATTACGAAATTCTCAAATGTTGAAGTTACGAAACTCGGAAATATTTGAAACTTTTCGTGTAATGAGATTTTGCGATTCTATCCTTTGCAATTTTAATCATATACGTGACAATAAAATCTAATGAATATTTTCCCCTCTAATAATCAGAGAACAATACATATATTTGTCCGAATTATCTCCGAACAGAACGTAGAAATTCGATTAAATATTGAGATAAGGTATTGAATCCCTTGATACCCTCTCTCTCACTCTCGTTTCTATTCTCCAAAGCTGATCTCACGATTCGATCGCGGTTTATGCATAGAAACGAGGAAAAATCAGAAATCTCATCTCTCTCCCTACGCTTATAAAAGCTCGCGTGTTCATCTTTGCATCGCGTGCTGTTTCTTACGACGTATTCACCCTCTCTGCGCTTGTTTTTTTTATATTCATAGAACTTTGTAGGTGAATTACGCATCGTTTTCCTACCTCCTGAAGTAAATTCTGAAAATATATAGAAGTAGATACAAGAATTTTCTTTATAAAGCTTCAAACATAACGAGGGAAATACACGAACCTAAGTATACAACTTATTTGAAACCTTCTAAAAAACACTGCACATCTTATGGAATAAAATCGTACAAATTTTTTTATAATTCATTATTTTTATTTTAAAGAAGTTTCGTTACACTGCTTGGTAGAATGATTTAAATACAAAGCTCAGGTATTATATCGAATTCTAATTTACTAATCTAATTAAAAATAAGGTTGCACTCTGATATCCATCCAAAATAAAAGGAAATATATTTTCCAGAGTCATACAACTTCTGTCTAACCCGTTTTCACCATAAATCAGAAACAGTAACGTCGAGTGTGTCAGCCTATGCGTCACCCCATAATATATACCTACCAGCATCCCATTACGTATCCCATGTCGCAGGAATGTGATCTTTCCCGAATACAGATTCTCCGAAAGAGAAACATCAGCCAGCCAGTGCAATGGGTACATTTAATTTCATAAATGTTCCGTGGCTTTGGCCACGTTGTTCTTGCCGACGAGGAGCAGGGTTAAACGTCCATAAAATGAATTGCTTTCTACCCTCGACCATTCGATTCCTTGGCCCCGCGTGTTCCAGCCGCGACCCAAGAATTATGGCCGCGAATTATTGCCCATCCTCGTGTAAGTAATACGTTCATCGCATTACCCGTGAAACTTTACAATCCATAGTTTTATTAAAACGCGGAACACTCGCGTCTGGCGAGTTTATTCCGCGTCGCGTGCGGCTTCTAAGCGAAGAATTTCATTTTTTCTTTTTTTATTCCTCGGAAGGAATAAAGAACCGTCTTATGTTCCTGCGTCTCGGCCTTTTTTCCTTCCCTTCTCTATCGCGAACATGGAAACGTTTAAAACGCGAAAGGGATTCCGAGTTACGGTTTTCCACGATGAATTTCACCGGCGTTTAACACTCCCAGCCCCGTTTCGGTAGGCAACTTTCCGGCTGCCAGGAATTTTTTTTTATCCGCCTCTTTATTTAACTTCCGTTTTAGAACCGCACCTGGCGGTTTGCGGATTTTCGCGGTATTTACGAAGCGATCGAGCCAGGTTTCTGGGAGAATTAGTGTTATCGTAGACTAGTTACCAGCTAATTTATACTGCGTGTTAACCTTTGAACAGCGGAACGTGGTAAAATTGAGGTCTCTCTCCATGGTCCGCCGTCCAAGGGGTGATACTTTGAATATAATTTAGAATAGGGAATTTGATTGTTCTAATTATTATATTTCTGAAATTTATAAATTTCTAATCAAAATTAAGTCCCAATATAATTGTGTTGGAAATATTTAAAAGAGACTCGTACAGAATTCAAACATCCACAGTTTGTTTCTCCATTAACGATGTTTTACCAAAACTGCAGTAACCTCTAATAATTAACAGGAACGTTTTTTCTTATCTGCCGCATACGCTCGTCCCACGAGGCGTGACATTTCCCGCGAGCGTTCCGCTTCGTCCTGCAATCACCGTGAAGCGTATTCTGTCATCGTTATTATACCACGGCATTTGTTACACTGGCACGGTTATCACAAAATTTTTTCAAATGTTTACGAGCCAACCATGCCCCTGGGCGTATCTTTTGTATTCCACCGCGATGAGTTCTTTTTTTCATCTGAAAACCCTTTTATGTCATTTATTCCTCGTGTTGCTAGCTAGGCTCCAGGCAATTTCCAAAATGTTAAATAAAGAGTTTGGAAAATTGTAGATAATTTGTGAAGGAGAATTTCGGTGAAATTTTATTCTTGTCCGCTGATTAACGAAATAATTGAATAATATATGAAACAATTATTTCATTATTCTCGCTCCTGTACGTTTCACCCCCTGTATACTTCGAACAGTATTATCCAGTCCCAAGTGTTCCAGCTCTTTGTTCTTTTGAGTCATCAAAATCAACGAGATATAAATTGGTCAATTACGAAATTCGAATTAATAAGCTAAAATTAAATCGAAGGAACATGGATAGCGGGACATCGAGAGATGCACCCGAAAAGGGTGCACGCGATTCCGATTGTTCAAAGCGACCGTTTGGCAAGCGGGATGTAATTAACCATGAACTTTAACGCGTAACAGCGGAATAATTGGTTTGCACGGGGAAATCGGGGCGCGGAGCGAACTGAACGCCACAGGATGGTTTAATAAAAATTGAGTTTGGCTATTCGGTTAATTTCACAGGCTTGATAATTCCGCTCGGAAACCAGCTAACTTTGTTACCCTCTCCGATAGAATTAATAACTTCGAATGTTAATTGTAAATCAAATTTAATTGCGAAACACAAGTGCTACTCCCGAGGCTTTTCCTGAGAGTAAAGTAAACCGGAAGTAAACTCCAGAATCTATGAAAGTTAGTGCGTGCATGGAAAGACGAAATTTTAATCCGGAGCCGCGAGGCTATCGGAACCGGTAGTCTTAGTACCGCGCTCGAGATAAGGATAATCCCTTTGCATAAACACTCGAGTCATCGACAGTAAACACGTCGAAGTGCGAACACATTCAGTCGTTCTTGAGCCTTCTTCGAGACAACACGCAGAGTTCGTTTCGTATGTATTATTTAATATATATTCATATCGTCTAACTAATTTACATTTAAGCGTACTATAAATTGAATATCGAACAGGAAACTTTGTTATTGTTTAATGTGGTCTTTTAAAATGAAGACTCTATTGCACTTTGAAATTTAATTGAAAGCCATTCGATAACAGTTTTTGAAATGGAGAAGAAAGAGAATGGGAGCTTCTTTCACTGCTATTATCCCTTTCGAAATTCGATATCGCGTATTTATAACGTCGCTACGCGGAGTAGCGAGGATGTGCAACGGATCGAACCGGGGTGGAAAAGAGGAAGAAAATGTAAATAACTCGTTGGAGAAATACCTTTGAAGGTAGAATGGTTCTTTGATCTCTTTAAGAAGCTCCCAGGCTATCGATACACCATAAATTTAGTTAGATCCCGTCGCAATTGCGAGGACAGGCACGTAATAAAAGTAGCGTCGCGTAAAAAGCCAGATATTAGATGTTAAAGTGGCTGAAGAATCTCGCGTGACTTGCTGCTTTTCTTTGATAACCGGACGTATTTTTCGATTGATCGTTTCCGGGGGAGTTTAGCGCAGCCAATATGAAAGTTTCACCCTCGTCTCGTGCCCGCCTTCGAATCTGAAAGGATACTTTAACGTCCATCTGTGTATCCATGCGGAAGGATCGCGAGCCTTTCTCGAAACTTTTCGATCGTTATACAAGTTTTTATCAACACGTCGAACGGCACAGTTAGAAACAGTCATAACTAGTACGACACACGATTTTATGAACTGTTAAAAATATTTTCGAATAATTTTCTTATCTGTTATTTTAATCCTTGAATTTTTACTTATTAGAAAAATACGTTTTTGAATTTTCATCAGTGGCAATGAAATTTTCGCCTATTTTAAAAATTGACAAACTTCTAATTTAAAAAATAAAGAAGTTTCAACGAAGCGGATGTTCGCTCGATGCAAGAATATTCTACGAAAATTCTACGAAAAATCGCTTCCAAGTAGAATCGAAGGTAACAATGAAAACGTGTGTCAGACGTAGACAAGCTTTCTTGGAAAATAAAGCTCACGCGAACCGAAGGAAAGTGGAAAAGCCTCGGTTGCAACGCGAGCTGCGTTCTTTCACCGGAGTTTCGAGCTCTGTTTTCTTTCTTCGCGGCGCGATATTAAGCCCAGGGACCTCGGTAAAACGTTCAAAGTGTTTACACACCAGGCTAATAAACTTCCAGGGGAATATCAAGCGAGCAACAATCGCGGCTACCCGTTTTATTGACAACAGAACCGTGACCTGGTTACCATCCCGTGCTTCCCGTGCATTTCTGTTCCCGCGGCTGCCTCGAAATACCATCGAGAAATATTCGAAATTTCCCGATGCAATTGGGGACATTGTACAGTTCACGCGTCGGGTGTTATCGTTCGTAATTTTCGCGGCATCCTAATGCGAAATTCTCCGAATATTTTTCCAACGGCACAGATATTCGTATTTTTCGAACAAACAATGGGTAGCCGGAACGCTGATTACGCGAATCGATTAATTATCCGGACGTTAATTCTATGACAAATGCGTCGTTGTATATTGATTAATTCCAAGTATTGTTTAATTCATTGAGGATGAAATTGATAGTTAGCTTTGTAATTGATTCATTGTTTGCTGTGATATTTCGTTTGAAGAATTAAAACTGATTGTGGAATATAGAAGAATACATCAAGGGCGAAAAGCAGAGGGAAATAGGAATTCACGAAACAATAAACTGTTTGAATTCTTATTTATTCTAAGCTTGATGTCGGAAATCGTTTCGATCTTGGTGGTCGCGTATGCCATTTCCAGTCGCGGTAGCGAATTTTGTCGTTTTCCAAGCATCTTCAGAAACCCCTTCAATTCTCGATAGCTACACGTCGCTCGCTACATACCCCGTCTATTTGCAGTTTCGACACAAGGAAGCAAAGCAACCTGGAACAAGGACAACACTGGCAGGATAGCAGCCTCGACAGTCGTGCCTTCTTCAGATACTCGGAGAATCCCGCAAAACTCACCCTGAACAACGTCCGTGAGAGCGACGCAGCCGTTTACAGATGCAGGGTCGATTTCAAGCAGTCGCCGACCAGGAACAGTAAAGTCAATCTCACGGTGATCAGTGAGTATTCAACGGATCAGAATCTCTACCATCTTTGATCTTCCTCTTCATCCTCTTATTCCCCTTCGATCTACATTCTATCATTCGCGTTTTCTCATCTACGCTATCGTTTATAAATATTCGAACGGCTAGGGTGAACAGCATCTTCATCCGTCGGTGCGCGGACCATGAAGAGAGCCAGAATCTTAATTTCGTATTTCACATTGTCTTCACTTTTTAAATTTTATACCGTTCTAGGATTAGTTACATTATAATATTAATATAACTCTACTAATTATTTAATTTTAATTCTGTTTATCTTAAGTATTTTTGACAAACTCTTTTTTATTGCAGTTTTCTTTTTAACGCGCATTCCAACCAGTTTTCCGCCAGAATCCTTTGATCCTTTGTTACTTGTATCCTCGGCTGGATATGTATTTCGTTCGTCCCTTGTGTCTGTCCGTTTCATTCTCCATTAATCTTCTCGTCCTTCCGTTTTCCTACGCTTTGAGTTGGCTGCATCCATTACTTCCTCTTGACGCCGTAATGCAATATCTTTAGCCTTGTCTTTGTTCGTTTGTTTATTATGGTTTTCTTTATCAGACGCTCTGTTTATCGGTATACACATCACTTCATTTTTCATCTTACCGAGTAATTTTTATTTCGCTTTCCTTTCCGTTTTTTCAAACATACGAAATCTTTCGGTATTCTTCATTACTTTTGTTTAAGTATTCTTCTTGATTTTTGTATTATTTATACATGCTAGGTTCTTACATGTAACTTTGTTTAATTCTTTCGTTAATTTTTCATCATTCGTTCGATTAAACCTCAATATTCAACCTTTTTTCCCCCCTCCTACTTCTTTGACGTCTTTCCTGCTAATCTACTTCTATTTCCCTATCTTTTTTCTTTCTCCGCGATTTCTCTGTTCCTCTTTGGTCTCCTTGGAAATTGATCGAGGCTTGCCAGACCGCTTTTCGCGATTAGCTCGAACAAACAGAGAGTGGATTCGGTCTTCTTGACCCGGATCCACGGTTCAGCAAGCGACGATTAAGAGGAGTTTTATCTGAAAGTCGTCGGAATCGAGGGAAATACGAAATTAGATCGGCATCCATGATGCTTAACTCGTCGAAATCGGTGCATCGATGTCGGCGATATCGATAAGTAGATTTCAGCTTACGGTACGGATCTTGTTGTCGTTTGAAAAATTTTCTAGTTGAACTCTAGACCCATAGATATCATTTTTGTGACGCCAAAAATAATAAGGTAAAAATAGAATATAATAATCATAGAATACTCATAGAATATTTCATAAATATTCTAATCATAGAATGTTTTGTTTGCTAAAATTTTCTAATTTCATGATCAGAGACTTTGGAACCACTAAGAGTTAATATTAGTTATTAGACAAATATTAATTTCAGTGCCATAACCCTATTTGCAGAAAGTTTATCACTCTGAATATTAATATTACCCTAGTACGAAATTAATATCAATCGTCTATCGGTCCATAAACCATTAGCAAAGTCAGTTCAACTAGAATCAATTTAACCCACGATCAAATCATTCCAATTATCCACTACATCACCAAACGCCCATAAATTCTTTATTAAAAAATAGTCGAGCATAATAGACAAATACTACAAATGAATTTCAAATCATACAAATATGAAAAATTTAATACTTCTTATGAGTAATGGGGCCTCCCTTACAGCCCCATCTTCCCAAGAAGATAAACAAGAAAAATGTTTCTTATTTTCTCAAGAAAAATCTACTATGCTCGCCGCAATCCAAAACAATTTCTCTGCAAATAATTTCTTCTTTGCAAAAGCAAAGAAGAAGTCCCCTCTCTCGTTCAATTCCCCGGCTGTCTGGGTTAAAAACAATTTGCATAGTCGAAGCGTGGCGTCTTCTTAAGTGCTCCACGGGTTTGCCAGATAAGAATACCAACCACCACAGTGTGGTGTCGCGAGATGATACACGCCTGTGCGGTAATTCATCGTCTTGCAAATTGATTTTGCCCCGTGGAGAGTCGGTGTTCGCAAACGTTCACTCGAAAAGGGGATGAAGCAGAGAAGAGGGGGTTTGGAGGAGAAACGAAGGAAAAAACGAAGGACCAAAGCGATCTTATTGCGTGAAATTATTACAGTACCGCCGGAGCAGCTTAGTATATTGGACGAAGATGGAAAGTCTCATATACCCCACTACATTCTAGGCCCATACAGCGAGGGTGCTTCTTTGAATATTACATGTGTCGCTGCTGGTGGTGAGTACTCATACTTTATTTCTTTATTTTTTTAAGTAGAAAGTAATCTCACGCCAATATTGATATTGTTGATAAAAGTTAATTTTCATGTTATTTAATATGTTGGCATGATACTTTTTTTCTATTTTTGTGGGATTATATTCGAGTATCCTGTCTTTTCTTATTGCCACAAACATCGTTTTTATCTTTTTATCTTACTATTTATCGATCCGTGTAGCTATTGTTCTCTTTCGTGGGAGCTTCAGGTTACCTTTGGAAAAATGGAATTCATGGATCTTTTTTTACCGGTGATTTATTGTTCCATACATTGTAATTTTGGTTCGTTAGAGTCTCTGCTCCTTTTTTTCCTCTTCGGTTTTAGTTTCTATGGAAGTTTCTTTCTATACGTATTTCGTTCTCTGGTTTTATGTCCTCAGACCCCTTATAAAACTAGATGTTCCTTTTTTGGGGAGGGGTGGAGAAACGTTGGGAATATTTTCCTTCTGGACACGGCTTACACCCAAAAGCCTCAAACAGTATTAAATGTAACAAACCCAGCCGTGAAAACCTCAAAACTCCGCGGGTTGCATCTTCTTTTTTTCATTTGTCCCTGTTTCTGACAGTTTTCCTGTTTTCCCTTTTTACTCTCCTTTTTTCCCCCGTGTTTCTGATTCTACTATCTCAATCCTTTTTTGCACAGTTTCGTTCATTTCCACTTTGCTTTCCTCCTTTTTTCATCCCTGTTTCTGTAATACTGTAGCTGCAGTACGTTTCTCTTTTTCCCTTATTTTCTGTCCTGCTCCTTCCATCCTTGCTGCATTGCGCATAGCTCCATTCGTTTACTGCTCTATTCTCGCTCTATCTTCATCGCATATTTCACGTAATTTCTATGCTTCATACAACGAATTTGCAACTTTTCATCTTAAATAAAGAGGAAATAATTTTACACCTATTGAAACTCGCAGAATTTACAATTCATGAACTAATTAATTTCTTAGCTAAGGAAATGAAAATTTCTTGGCCACGTATTTAAATTTGTACATACAAAATCTAGGCTCCTTTCTGCTGTCATTTTTCCCTTATTTCTTTTCCTTTCCCCGAGGAAAAGGACTGTACAAGATCACGAGGGATCTACCGTCTTGCTCAAAGCGAAATTCACGCCAGGGGGTAAGGTTTTAAATTGATTAATCTAATAAAAAGAGACCAGGTTGGTTACCACGTGCGTACCATATTTCTACAACGAGGTATTCTTTCGAGAAAGATCTTTTCTATTATATTTACACAGTCACGATCTCGTTGCTCCTAAAAAAGAATTTGCTCTTCTTTCACATGTTCACTTTTTATATTGTAATCACGAATGACGATGAATGTTTGACATGTAATAGAAATTTTTAACAATTATAAAATATTCATAACTTGTTAACCCCCTGCAGCTACAACTACAAATTTGGCTCAATCAATTATATCCTAAAGTAAAAACTTTAATTAATATCCCAGAATTTTTGCAGATTTTTTGAAAGCCAAGAACAATAAAAAATTAGCCACGAACTTAAACAATCCCCTTTACAGATCGCGTCAGTAACATTAAGATTGCTGACGGAGGGCTAATAATAAATTGAATATTTTTGTAATAATAATAAAATAGAACTTCAGTTCGAATATGCGTGAAATAATTTCAACGACATCCGCTATAGCGTGAGAAAATTTCCATCAGCCGGAAGGTTGATCGTTTCGAGGGCCGGAACGAAGTATGATTAAAATGAAAATTTAATAGCGTCGGAGAAGATGAAGCACGCGGCTTAGTATAACGTTCTTCCGGTTTTCACGCGAACGGGTGAGAGCACACGCTCGCGTTTATCTTAACGCGTCTTCGGCTCCTCCGAGGCGCAACCCGCGCTGCGTATCCTTTTATAAGGATCTATAAACAGACGGGCAGAAGAGAAACGAGAAGGTCGAGAGTAAAAGAACGGATTGGCGAGGCAACGCTTTTGGCTCGCCACGAAATTTATATCCGCTACAGGCTCGTGAGTAAAATATTGTGTTCAACGAGCAAAATGAAGAACGAGATTTATTAACCAACTACTTGACGAGTTCCTCCTTTTCACTTTTCATTTTAGCGATCGCTGCGAAACGTTGCTAAGAATCTTTAGAAACGTGGCCATTTGAAAATTATTTACTTCGCTGTAAATCATACATTCTGAAAAATAAAAGCGCGTCGAAATTGGAATGTAAATATCGAAAAGTTTTTTAGCTTGAAACTCGGTAATTAATTTTACAAGATTTATGAGTGAAAATGTTGGCTCAAGCGGAAACCGGATCGTCTCGTATTCATGCACGATTTGCATTCTGCCAAGAAATAGAGGAGGAAATATTGAAACAGATAGAAACCGGTCTAACTGCACATCTAACTACTCCAAGTTGTCTGACTAAGTACTGAGTTGTACTACTCAAAGAGATACTACCTCCGCGAAAGCGTTACGTTCTCTACACTTTTAAACGATTCCATCGCGCTTTAAATTGCACTTTGCAATTTAAATTGACTGACATAACATTCTAAAAACCCTCTTTACCTTCTTATTTCATAACAGTTGTTTAACCCTTGAACAGCAGAGCCTGGGTCAATCGAGAGCCAAACTTACAAAACATGTTAAATATTTAAATTCTGAACGAAAGAGTTTCATACATTAAAATAATAATTGTTAAAAAAGCACCGCGAAACATAGATAATGAAAATCATATTAAATTACAATTGAGGCTCTCTCCATGGTCCGCTGTCCGAAGGTTAAATCGTTTGGCATTTTATAAAATTAAAAACGGAGTTAAGATAAGGTTCTACTAACAAATCTTTTTTCAAAAATATTCACAAAGCTTAAAATCAATATTGCAGTGATTTATTTTATGAAACTACCCTATAGATAGATATGTGTATCTTACGTGTACTCTCTGCCGCGTTCTCGTGTCTGTGACATTAAAACCGACCGCAGACCGTAGTTTCTCGTACAACTTCCACCGTTTATTATTTACTAGGGTGTATTTATTTATGAGGAATTGCAGGCAGAGGGTTTACGCGGCATAATTCGGTACGTCTTTTCGTTATTGTGCTCGCGTGCTAAGAAAATAACTTGCCAACACTATTTCCCTCCGAAATCGCCATTTAACCTAATTTATTGCCATTAGAAAGAGAGAAAAAAGCATACTGTAGATCGTGAAAACAACTGTCTTCGAGGTGTCTTTTTCAGAATTGAATATTTTTAATAATCCTAAGCGTAAATGTTTAATTAAGACATCAACGAGAAAGTCGGAATTTTATCGTCATAATATCCTCCATTAATCATGGGAATACTAATTTTACAAAATCGAACGTGTTCCATTAATCCATTAATCCTGTCTCCAATATTCATGGGAATTAAGCAAATTACGAAGGATTAAATGCACTGTGAGATAGAATATCGATAAGTTTCCCGCTTAATGTTTGACGTTAATGTATTCTAGTCATGCTCGACGTTACTTGCACTGGATTAATCGTGTCGAAGGTTTGTCGTGTCTGAAAACAAAAGCAAATAAATAGAATAATTTGATGCAGTTAGAAATTGATGTTCTACAGGAGCAGTTACGTTTTTACTTGGCCAGTACGAATCCGAGAGCACTCATTGCACATTGTTTTATCATTTCGAGAACCGTATCACCGGCCTCTTTCAATTCTACCTGCGATCTCTTGATTGGACCAACATGTGTAAACAAACGGATAGAGAAAACAAAATATACGTGGAATCCGACAGGATACGGCCGCCGCGGTGCACGGAAAAAATATCAGACGGAAATTTGAAATTCCTATTTTTACCACGACCATCGATTCTCCCTTTTAAATATTTCAATGATTCTTCTATTTTTATCGATAAAATGCAACGCAAATATTCTACGATACGTAGCCTTTTTTTCATCCCTTTTAATTTGTGGAAAATGGAAGGCACAGAGACGGGTCGAACGTCTATTTGTGCGGAATGAAACGTTTATAAAAACCTTGCTCCCTCTTGGAAAAGAATTTTATTTGACGAAAATCGTGTTGGTTATTAGTAGAAGGGAATAGAAATATTATTAAATATAAGATTGAAAGTTGTAGAAATGTAAAAGAAGTCGTCATTTATCTTCTGTGTTGAAGGATACGTCACATTTGCATTTCAAATGATCTTCTCTCTTTATTCGAAAGAAAATTCCAAGAATATCTTTTCACTGATTTACCGGCGAAAATGGTGAATCGACAGTAGAGAGGAAAGTTTGTACGAGAATCTTGTTCATTCTCTGTTTCGTTTTACTAGGTCGACCGCAACCGCGAGTGACGTGGTGGCAGGAAAACGCTCTCCTCGACGACACCTACGAAACCGTCGGCACCAAAAGGGTTCGTAATGTGTTGAGACTGGAGAAACTGGGACGTGAACATCTGAACGCTGTTTTAACTTGCCAGGCATCGAATAACAATATGGTCGCAGCTATATCGAGCTCTGTCACCTTGGATATGAACTGTGAGTACTTATACAGATTCCCAAAGTCTTAATTTTTATGATATTAATATAAAAAATAATTTAGAACCAAACTAATATCATTTTTATTTATTATATATTACAACATTTGATATATGATTGAGAAATATTAAGAATAAATAAATATTAATTCAAATTCGCATCAAGGGGTGGTCTATATATGAGGCTTTCTCCCTTACATCGTCAGTCTCCCCGCGACCGTCTAAGGGGAAGGTCGAGGTTCCAGGACATCCGCATTTTTCCCGGGAAAAGCTGATTTAATTTCTATCTATTTATGTAGAAAAAATAATCTGATGATACTTTCAATTTATTACCTTTTATCGAAAAACTCATTTTATCGTAAAATCATGTTTAAATAGCTCTTGATAAAAGCGAGGATTATTCTTAGGCAAGTATTTACCAAACACTTGAACGATGCTGTTAAAATCGTTTTCAACCCCTTCACGCCGCTCTTCGACCAGTTTTCGACCCTTAAAGCAGGATTCTCGCGATGATTTTGCAAACACTATAGCCGAGGTTCCTCGGACGGAAGACTAATGGATGGTACAATGTGTTTCAGTGAGGCCATTGTGGGTCCGCATGCAAGGGGAAAACCGTCCATTCAGTGCTGGAACCACGTACGAAATCGGCTGCGAAGTCGTCGGGGCTAGACCGACCCCGAAGATCACATGGTCGAAAGGTAGCATCATGCTGAGGAACGCCAGACAGACGGTGAGTCTTTGTTATGATTCCAAAGCTGAATATTTTTAGAGTTTTATCAGAAGAATAGGAAAATTCAAGCGCAATGATTATTCTCAAAACTTCTAGAGTATACGTATGATATACCCTACATTGTATGTGTACATTCAATTTTCTTTCAAGTCAAAGTGAAAGAAAATATTTCATTTATCCTGCATTACTCTTAAAATTACACTGCTTTCACGTCTAAAGAATTTCTGATCCATTTAAACCGAAACGAGCACCTTTAAACATCCGCAACAGCTACAATCTCATGGAAACCCGACGAAGCCAAGAAAATGTTCAATTATTTCTCACTCTCCCGACTCGTTTCCATAATATTGTTCTTCAATATAGGATTCCATTATCTCGTTGACGTTTGCTCGGAAAAGAGACAACAGACTTCGTTCGAGGAACAGATTCAACCCTCCGGTCGCGAAGTGATTTAATTACCTAGTTGTTAATAAAAGTTCTTTAATACGAAGGAGAGGATTTAGTACATATAAACCTTAACATGTTTTTGCCACGATAAATTTAATTTCAGGAGAAGAGAATACTTATAATTATAACGTGCCTGACCATACGTGAATATTTCTACTGCGCCAGTTAACGTCGCTATTTATCTCGCCGGCAATTATATTGCAAATTATTTTGCTAACGTCCAGACGGTTTGATCGAGAAAGCAATCACGTCGAGTCGCCGCGCCGGGAACTCGATTCCACGGAAATCGACTTTCGTCGCGCCTTCTCGTGTCAGCTCGATTCCGTAAATCAGCCCTTTCAAACTTCTCCGCTTACCTACAGGCTTTGTTTTTTCTACGTCGGCCCTGTGATTACCAAACGGTTCGGTAAACTGTTTTAAATTCATGAAAGCTATCCCGCAGATGAGCCCCGACAAGAACGTCACCACGAGCCTTCTCACCTTCGAGCCGAGTATCGAGGATGCCGGCAAGTTCCTCTCCTGCCATGGCAGCGTGCCGGATATCCCGGATTCCGAGATGGAGGATGGATGGAAGCTCGATATATACCGTGAGTGTTTTCATGGAAATTTCATCTACATATACCATTACGTAACATAGTTCTATGTTATTTTACTATACGTTAGGTCATTTCTTGTACATGCGTGTGGTAATTACTTTTGAGATCATTATTTATATTAATTACTGGTAAACAAAAAAACCCAGTGTCCAAAAATTATAATTAAATTAAGCACAATATCACACAATTTCACTTTTAATTTAGTTTTGTTCATCATCTGTCAATGTAATTAAACTAGGATGGCAGACCATGGAGAGAGCCCCAATTTTAATTTAATATGTTTTGTAAGTTTCGATCTTAATAGAATCGTTGTTCAGGGGTTAATAGAAAAGAAAGAAAAGAACAGAAGCTTCTTATTTTGAACAAAAGTGAAATCTGATCGATTGGTTTTCACATCGGTGTCCAATAAAAATGATATACGGTTGATGAACAATTTATTGGCCGGCCGAATCCAGCAGATAATTTAATTCGCGTAATCGATAGGAAGCTCGTCTAGCAACGATTGTTTCGTTCCGTGAGAAGCTGAAATAGCTTTGCCGAAGTTTCCTCGTCGATGAACAACGTCAGGGTTTAATATGAAACGCGTGTCGAGAATGTCCATTCTTCCAATTAACTTTACCCCCCGTGGCTTATTTGGATTAACTAAAAAATTTTAATTAATTCTTTCGAAGCCCTTCAAAGCGGCTGGCTGAAACTCTGCCCGTTGAAGATTGGAACACCGTTCGTCTATCCTTTTATGAACGAATTTTCACGTGAATTATGTTATGAAGCGTGTGAATAGAAGTGTTTGGTAATGGAATTTATGAATTTTTGAGAATTATTAATATCAGAGGAAATAGAAAGCCGAGAGGAATACAACGAAGCGTGAAATTAAAGCTTAACACTGGAACAAACACTTTTTCAAGCTCTCTGAAAAGATCATAGATTTTATTTTTATAGGAAATTCCATTTCTTATTAAAACTTATTAAAAACAAATTTTAATTACTGCTTGAATTTTTTTTATTTATCGAAGATTATACATTTTATTTCACCATAAAGAATCGATATCGACCTCTTCCCTGTTGAACGTTTGATAAAGAAAGAAAAGCTTGCATGCCCAATTGTTCTAGAACTCGTGTCATTCTCATCGCAAAGAGTGCTTCGAATCGGTTGAAAAGCCAGATTGGCACGATTCATCTGTGCAATTTTTGCCTTCGTTAAGTCTTCCATTTTTCAGGCAGTTTCTTTCCCTCGTATTGCCTTGTTCCGCATTGAATAGTCATCCTTCTGTAAATTTCCGCTCCACTAACACCCTCGGCACTTAAGAACCCGACGACAGCACCGCTATTCCTCCAATGTGCAATCTTACAGTGGAACAGGCTTCTTGGCAACTAACCAGAACACGCTATAAACTAAACACAAATGCTTGAACCAGAACGATACCGATGCCAAATATTTAAAGTAAAATCCCCCCTCCACCGTCCCCTCAGTTTCGTACAATATCATTTATTTTTGCAACTAATATTTTTCATCACCGATGGACAAAAATAATTAAGTTAAAAGTTATTTGACGATCGTTAACCATTGTGACTGGTGTCAGTATGGGGTTGTTCACCCCAGAAATCAGAGGAGCTCGTTGATTTGCCGGTACGAATTAAAACTCACCTCTGCAGTGGTATCAGAGAGGTTCGTCGGCTTATTTATCCAAGAGAATTCCGTCAGGCAGTGGCTGGTATTGGTTTCACGCTCGATCTCCGGCTGGCTATTAGCAAGAAATTCGTTCCCCGGTGGCCGTTCGATACCGTTCCTCCGGTGAAATGCAGGAGCGAAGAAGAATGAGGAAACGGTGAAAAGGAGAGAGGAAGAGAGAAAAAAAAAAGGAAACGAGCAACCTAGGATATCGATTCACGACGTTCGCCAACCAGCTCTTTGCTTATGATTTCTCTCGCCTGGAACCTCAAGGCCTGATAATACGAGTCTACCGAACAAATCCGATAATACCCGCTCGCAAGATTCGTGTCTGCAATAACGAGTAAATTTTTCCCTGTTTCCCGCGTTCTCCATTACTCTACGTGGAATTAGCGGTCCAAGTGGCTAATGGAAAAAAAAACCGTGGGAGGGAGCGAGACAGCCAGAGCGATAAGTGGCGAAAGAAAAAGAGGAAAAAGGTGGAGAAAAAAAGTGGAGAGAGTTTCGAGGGTAGTGCGAAGTTGTAGTGGAAAAAGAAGATGGATAAAAGGAGGATAGTGGAGACGGAGAATGTAAGAGAAGGGGTCGGATAGAAAGGAGAAAGTCGAGGAAACGAGAGAATCTTTAGCCACGGATCGGCATGTACCATTAATTTCCGTGAAGCTGACTTGATCCCTACTCCTCTACTTCTTTATTTTTCTTTCTTTGCACCCTAGTTGGGAGAAACTTTTATATTGGACAGTGAAATCACAGCGTTAATCTCCAGCAACCGTGGCAGTGATGGGAGATCTCGGTAACAGTCAGTTTGTTTCGCGAATCATTTCACCCTTAGACGGCGGACCATGGAGAAAGTTTCTTTCATATGTAGAAATTTATTCTTCTTCTTTTTCTTAAAGAAAACAACCAGCACTGAAAAAGATTTTTAATTACGTTAAATGGTTCAGTTGAAAGCACATCAAATTACTCTTGTCTCAAAGTATTCTTTTATGAACGTTTAATAAAAAATATTGATATTCGATTAGTTTCATGAAATTGAAAGCTTCATTCATAGAAGAATGATGCTTGAAGGAGCAATGTGTTCATGAACATCAGTCCAGTGCGATTTAGCTTTCTGATCTCCGGTAGATTGCCGGAGGACGTTGGCGTGGAAGGATTAACAAGGAAAATTGATTTTGTTGTTATCAGAGCGGACAATATTGCATTATGGTAGAAACGGTAATTTAACTTGCTTGTGCTGAAAATCTTGGTTAGTAATAGCTGTTTACTGTATAAACTCGGTTTATTATATAAACGCGTATAATCGTTCATTATAAGTGGTAAACTGATGAAACATATACAGATTCAGTAAAAGAATTATTTCCCGTTTATTATTCCTTCATTAGAAAATTAAATTTTTATATTTCTAACAAGTTGACTAGTAGGTCACCCATGTGAGGATGACATTTGAATTTCTATGGAAATCCATTATTAATATTATCAGAAATTTGTTAACTTAGCTAATTAGAAATCTGTTAACTTACCTAATTAGAAATTTTACATCAACAGAACTTACTTAACAGAAGGAGCAAAATATTGTAAAAATAATAGATAATATGTGTTCGAAGTAAAAATACTAACCCATGAAATTTTCAACAGCATCGACGTGTTTTTCTGAAGCAACTTGTTCAAATAATTAATTTTCCAAATTTCAGACGAGCCAGTAGTCACCCTCGAGTTGGGTAGCAATCTTAATTTAAGTGCCATCCGAGAGGGTATCGACGTTTACTTCGAATGCAACATCAGATCGAATCCATGGGTCTACAAGGTCTCCTGGCAACATAACGTAAGTCCATATATTCCCGTACAGTTATACAGAAAACGTATAACGAATTCGCCTCGCGGTTTCGGAATCAATAATTTAGAAACGAGGACGAAGCTTAATTGAAAGACGAGATAAGCGAACGGGTTGCGCACCTGTGACGCAAAGTTTCCGTTTAAAATTTACATGCTGATCCGAGACGAGCAGAAACCGTCGCGTAAGCGTTCTTCACCAAACTAATAGCTGTCGTTCACGTCGATAAGAAATTTATCGACGAGTTTTCGAATCGTCGACGTAACCCTAAGTGGGACTGGTTAACTTGTTAGGACTCGTATGTCTTATCATCATTTATTCTTTCCCTTGCTTCACGTTCGAATTTAAATTACGGATATTTACTACTAATTACGCCAACCAAATATGAATGAAATATCCTTCAATTTCCCGGTTATTCTAAAGTTTCATTGCGATTAGAACGCACCAGTTCACACACACGTGAATATAGGGCAACTAGAGAAAACGAAGTCAATTGTTCATTAACCGATCCGATCCGCCAACGATGTGAAAATCGACAGCAATCATACTGCGAGGATTTGTTTAATTATTACTTGTGCCAATGAACATGCTTTCCTATTCAGCGTTAATGTTTGATATTAGCGCATTCAATCCACCGCCAGTTGTTGATGAATCACAAACACATGCTGTCCTACTTATGTTAGTATAATAATCCAAAACATATACTCTGTATATTTTTCATCACGAAAGATCTTTGAACAATTTCACGCGAAAGATGATTTCATATCGTGTGTAAAATTGATGTTTGCCTTGGCAACGTTCAATGGTATATCTTGTATGCCATCGTAAGATATGTTTGTACAGAGTATTTCTAAATTAAACGATCAAACTCTGCCAATTTGTTCTGTAAATAGACCCATAAATGTTTCGCTGAAAAGCCATGGGAAAATGATTGGCTATTGTTGAAACTTCACGTTACCCTTTTTTTTTTCACCCTTCGTTTATATAACATCGTTACACTAGTTTTATTGAAAAAATACACTGGAACAATTTGTGTATTTGAAAGAAATAGTGATAATTAAGAAATACGCCCGAAAAATTTATTAGATCCCTGAATCAGTGATCCGAATACCATCGCTCGTTATACAAGCGTTTATACCCCGTGTCTAAGGATCCTTTCAAAGAAATATAATTTCGCGCGGAGCGATTACGATCTCTCTGTCACGGGAGGGGGGAAGGACAGATTTATTTAAAAAGAAACGCAGACGACGTCGGTGCCTTTTGTGTCGGTATATTGCCCCAAGTTCCATAAATATTTCTTCGCGCGTCTCCGGATCATAATGTCGTTGTAGTCGCGGCTCTTTGTCGATTCTTCGTTTGATTCGAGGACGGGACGAAGAAGATTTCGGTAGCTGCCAGTATATTTCGAGGTACATTCGAAGGAGTTTTCCGGGGCTTGAAAAAAGCACCAGGAACGAAAGACATTGTCGAAAGCGTTGAGAAATTGAAAAACTGTCACCACCCTTCGACCTTCATCGCGCTCGTGTTTCTCGTTTCTTCTTTTTTCCGCGATCGACGCTTCCCGTTGAATCCGAGGAAACATTAATCATCGAGAAATGGGTATACACTTCAAAATTACCTGCCGATATCCCCCCATGAAAAAAGGGAGAACGTTGTTACGCGACGGAATTGATCTTGAACGACACCGTATCCGTTAAGCGATAGCTCTCGATGATCTTACCATGCTGATATCTAAATTATCCTAAATTGATGGTTATTTTGTAAGAGAGACGAAGATAACTATGTTTTTGTATCAATTTTACTAAGAACTTTTGTCCTAACAAGTTAACAAATCCATAGTTTAGAAATATAAACGATTAGATTTTTGCAAATTATTAACTCTCGAACGGCGGGCCATGGAGAGAGCCCTAATTTTAAATACAGGCGATACACATTGAGTGGATTAGATTTATCTCTTGTATGTTACATTGATCCCTCGAAGATACCTTATCCGATCGATGGCATTGTATCTTCGATTTTGCAATTCACAGGGCAATCCGTTGTACCATAATCCAGCTACGGGAACAATAATCAGCAATCAAAGCCTGGTATTGCAAAGCGTGACTCGCAGCAGAGCCGGGATCTATACTTGCATCGGTAGCAATCAGGAAGGCGACGGAGTGAGCAACCCTCTGAATCTGGACATCAAATGTGAGTATATTGGTTGGCTGTTCATTTTCGATTGTAGTTAGAGGGGGATATCACGGATTTCAGTGATTTTAGAGCCCGTTATCCGTTCAACCATCACGAATATTGGAATAATATCGCGGAAATATTTCATGCTATCATTGAAAATGTACATGAAGCTGAAAATCATGAAATTGTGAAGAGCGACAACTAAGTATTATAATACCGGTTGATAAATGATCGATGTGTATTATAAGTTCGAAGAGCTTAATTGATATACCATTTTGAGTTCTGATCGGTTTTAATTGATATATCATTTAATTCCTAATAATAGTTATTTGGCATATTGTTCCGGATTTCCAATGAAATCAAAGATGATGTTTTATTAAATTCGCTGATTTATTTTAAAATAAATCTGACGCGGGGAAATTACCAAACAAACGAGCGGAAAGCGTAGCACGTTCAAACGTTTCTCTGCAACAACATCCACAAAATTAATTACAAATTTTTTTCATTAAGAGTTTCTACGATAACGTCGCGTTGACCTGATCTTCGCGAAAAAAAAGGAGATTTAATTAAACCGTGGAGAAAATTGTTCAAAGGAGTGGCGAACAAAGGGGAAACAATAGAAAAGTTCGATATTACGAGGTAGAACAGTAAATATTTTTATGTCAACCCTTGAACAACAATCGACAACGTTTACCACCGCGTTCATTAAACCAGATCCACCACTCCGCGACTCCCCTCCCTTCTTTTATTCAAACATCCTTCACTGCAATATCGCGAAACAGATCATTTGCCAGGACAACTGAAAATGAAATCGCGCTCGTGGAACCCTTTCAGCCGTGCAATTCGCGTGCAACGAACCAGAGATCTCTGGTGTTTCCGCTTCGCTGCGGAAATATTTAGAAAGTACGTTTCGTTTCCTGTAAGCGACATTATACAACGACAGCCCAGACGTCGTTACGTACCTCTACCTGTTCAAACAGACGCTCGAAACGGATTGCCAGTCGGGGGAAAGGAGATGGCAAAAAGCTGTGTGTCGTGGCCGCTAAAACGCGTTTCAAGAAAACCGAATCGTAATAACACGCTTTTACCACGTAATGAAACGTTTAACGAGAGAGAGAGGGAGAGAGAGAGAATAAGAGAACACGCGTAAAGCGAAAATTCCAACGACTATCATGAAATTCCGCGATACAATACCGTTCGCGATGTAACGTCGTTTCTTTTTCTGTTTAACAAAGTCTCTCTTGTTTCCCAACGACATTCTCGCCGTTTCGAACGACCGAACATAATAGAATCGCGTAATACGACGGTACTTTTGCACTTTACAATGTGACTTTAATACTTGGACAATTTGAGATCTGCACTCAATAGTCCTGAAGATTTATAAGAAATTTCATCATTTATACAAGTTATATATCGATTTAGTTACGAATTCTATAGGGAAAGTTAATTATTCGGAGATGTCTGATCAATGGTTTACCTATACTACTTAAAATCGTACTACTGTCAGACATAGAAGGAATCTATTACTGGAGCGATCAACGCCAGATACTTTCAGCTTCAAAATTGAAAATAAATTAGTAGAATAAATAAATAAAGGGTAGAAGATAAACTGGTACCCTAAAAGATGGGTTTAATGCTCCAAGGTTAACCCTTTGATGACGGACCATGAAGAGAGGCTCAATTTTAATTTCCAAACTTAGCTTTCGTTTAAAAATTCAATTTAATGCCCATTTATAAATAATTGTAATGTAGTATTCGAATCTGAGTGTGCCGAATAGTTATCAGAAATCTGGAATTAGAATTTCTCAGAACGTCTGAATCAGCTGGTGGTACGATCCGGCTAAACCGTCATGGTAATCAATTTTTCCAGCATTCTGTTAAACCAACGATCCTTCACTCACTACGGTAATCTCTCATTCGGTGGTAGAACGATCGATCTTGCCGCAAACGTGTCGCCGCACGGTTTCCGCGCGTGTAGGCGTCGCGCTCGGGCGTTACAAGCGTAATCCGGTGTCTCAAGTGCTCGTGTAACTTACGATCGGCTGACAGTCGTCGGTCTTGCCTCAGCCGTCCATATGGTCGGGCTAGCGAATCAGTGTGTAATGGCCTTAACGACGGTAAACTGGCACGGCTAATCCGCTGGACCGCATGGCGGCCGCTCGTACACGCTTTGCAACTGCCCGACCATCGACGAGGACCCGGGTACCGTTCTGACACATGCCGGAATTCGATGGCTGCGGCCATATAGGCCGGGTTCAACCGGCCGTCTCGGCCAGTTAAAGGAAGTCGAGTGTCGCGGTGTTTGATGAGATTCGAATCGTGCGGAACCCGTACATAGGGAACGCGGTCGGATCGCGCGGAATTATATGCGTGTGCCACGTGGACGTTCCGATAGATTCGAACCGGAAACTGCAGACCATGCGCGAGCTATGATGGACGAGAATGGGATGCTTTTGTATGCGAGAGAGATTTTGTGCGATTGGAATGTACCAGGGTGTTTGTTGAGAAAATTTTCTTTTAATTTTCACTTTTTTATTGAAGAGTATTAATCGGTTGATTCTATATGAGATTCTATATCAAACTAAGTTTCATATAGAAGAAACCACATTTCGTAAGACGAACGCGTGGGCGTAACTCGGTGTCACTCTCCTGCACAGACATTAAGGGTCGCTCTAAATCATTACAGTCGGTTTAGCGGGGAAATTTGCATAGGCGCCATATGTAGAGAAAGCTGCACGTGTACGCAAGCCGGGTATGCAGCGTGCATCGAATCGACCGGTTCTAGAGTAACACCTATGCATTTCTGTTGCATCTTTATTGTAATTGAACCGTGCGAGTTCCTGGCGAATTATTTGTTTTTCGTTGAAAGGACCGAATCGTATGGACAATGCAACCTCCATGACGGACTGTATCAATTTTGTTGGTTAATTGTTACATCGAATTACCCGAGGGTCTAACGAAGCGGACCGGTCGAAGACTAGGGCACAGGGAGTTAGCTGGGTAATTGTTCCAGGAAGACGAACGATCGGCCAGTTCCCGACTAAATAATAAATTTCGTTTCCGGAGTTCCGTGCTCAATGGAGAGTTCGAAAGTTGCGCGTTCGTTGGCAAGTTTATTAAGCTGTCGAAGGTGTTGGGTAGGTTCGTTAACTTGTTGGATGAGACACTTCTTAATTAGTGTAGTGTTTTATGCGTTCAATATCGTAAACATATAAAAATTAAATAATATGTAAATATTACTAAATAGTAGATATATCCATGGAGAAAATGAATTTCAATTTATTTTCATTTTTTAAGTTCAAAGATTTATATTCATTGAAATTTTTAATTAATTCCAAAATTGCACTGTATGAAAAATTGCATTTCTAACAATACACGTAAATTGTCCGTCTGGCTCGCGATTCTGGCCGTTTTCCGGTTTAAACGATTCGCCCTTAGAGAGTCCGTAAACCGTGTTACACGAAAACAATGGACGGCGCGAGGCAAATTAGCGTATAACGAGGAGCATAATTCGCGGGATGAAGTCGTTTTCTCCGGAACGAAGTGACTCCGGCTCGACGGCACTCGATTCGTTCGCGTTTCCTTTTCAGCCTGGGTCACTTCTCTATCGCTTTGTGTTTCGCCTGGTGATAATTTACATGCAAATAGAAGCTGGGAGGTTGTCGTTTTCGGGCTCCATTTAGAGCGTCAACGAAGCTTAACGTTTCAATTCAGTTTTAGGACATATACTTACGCGCAACGCCGCTTTCTTCCTGCCGCGTGGTCCAGCGCGATCTTAAGCCGCTTAGTTGGCTGTAAAATGACGGAGGAACGCGAGACCCAACCGTGGCTACAAAAGAAATCTTGGATGAAATGCTAACGTTCACGGCGTTTAACCCGGGCGAAAAAGGGGTTTATTAAACGGGAAATAATTGTTGGATAACCGGTGAGAATTTAAGGTTCAGTTAAAGGTCGTTTTTTTTCTTCATTTTTTACAAGCACCGTCCATGAAAAAAGTTTCGTTGAACTAAATGGCCAAACGAGGCCACGCGAGTCACCATTGAAAAGTCCCTCGGTCAAGCGGACCGCTTGTTGCTCTGGAATAATTCTGATTGTTTTGCCGACGGAAGACGAAGTGGTTCTGCTCGAGTAAAGCATTAAACTCGCCGCTGGTGATTTTCGAAAAAGCACGTCGAGTTCCTTCGTGGAAAAGCGGTAATGCTTTTGGAATTTAATCCATTGTGTTTCTTGTAAAAAGTGAGAAAGTCGTAGAATTGTGGTGTGTCGGAAATGTTAGGTCGTTGCATTGTTACCGGTTGATGAATGGCTGCTGAACGACTCTTTAGTTCGTAAGACAGATCACGTGAAAGAATTGTATATATTTAAGAAATTAAATACACGGTTGAAGTGAACAGTACTAGATTAATTGTAAGTTCTTGCTGTTTTAAGTAGAACAAGTCAATCGTCAGTCATACGCGGACTATATATCTGAAATTCAGCATATAATTTAAAATTTTCAGTGAAAATTAAAACCTTTCATGCACAGGGTCATGTTATATTTAACAGCTGGATTAACTTTCTAAAATTTAAGTAGAACAAGTCAATCATAAAGCGACCGCGCGGAGTTCGTAAACCATTAAATGGCAAGAAATGAATGAAATCCTACAATATTAAAATATTTCACGTGCTTCTCTTGTTACATTCAATTTCATATAATTACAATGAATTTCCGGATTTAAGTAAAACACGATAGTCGTCAAATTTTTATATAGAATTTGCGGGTAATTAAATGTACTTCCATCGTTTATCAACTTCTCAACTATTTTATCGCATTGAATAACAAAATCAAAATTTTTTAATAATGCAAATGTGTACTGATGGTACACTGTCGATAAACGAGGGAGTCCTGTGGGAAGAGGTATATGACAGCCCTTAAAAATTCACAGTGCCGCGTCGCGACGCGATCATGTTCTTCCATGACGTCCTTAAATATCCAGACAAATCGATACCCATGGACGAAGAAAAATCGGAACTCA